CAGTAAGCGTGTTCAATACTTTTTCCCTGTGCCATTCCACATTATTACAAATAACTTCATTTCTGGACATTGGTATGGATCACTTGGGTTGTTACCAACATCTGGTGAAAATTTCATGTCATTAGCACCTCTAGTAATATATTTACTGAGAAAAATGGTGACATGTTCAATACTTATTTTACCCGCTGTATATCAGACATGCACACATCAAACTTGAGCTAGAATAAAGACAGAGTATGTTGGGAACACTAAGCACATCATATGTAGGTAGATGTTTCAACAATAGCTGCCACATTAGCTTCCCTGGTCTAGGTCCAAGTAAGGGACACATCACAGCTGTGTCCAAATTCAGGGGCAGCGTCTTTCTTTTACATCACAGCGCAGCGCCAGAAGCTGATACACATCAAAAGTTTTCACATTGTGCAGCTCTACTGCCAACAGTGCCTTGGTTCTTCAGTTTTACAAACTAGATCATAAACCAGCTTTTGGACAAAACTGTTGATTTTAACACCTGGATCTGTGTCGTATTCTCTATCGGAAATAACATTTTTTTATAAAACATTCTGATCAACCACTCTTCAGTTTATTCAAAGAAGAATTGTACATTAATGTGTCAACAAGAAAAAGTTTTTTCTAACATGGCTGGCACTAACACTGTCCTCTCACTGTCATGTCAAAAAATACACACAACTGTCAAAACATTTTAAAAAATAACGTACAAAACAAAGATATCTGTTATTCTGTCCACCTAGTGGTGCCCTGGTACTCATCTTTTCAGACCGAGTACAAGTACACAACACAACAAACAACAACAAAGTCCTTAGACTGAACAAGTCTCCTAGAAAAGAGACAAAAACAGAGGACCTACTAAATTTTTTTTGGAATTTTCTAGATTGTTGAGATGCATCAGGACAACAAACAGTCCGTTGTTTTCACATCATAAAATACTAAAAACTGAATATTTTTTAACCCTTAGTTACTTGCCAAGTGGAAGAGGAAATGATGTCAGCAGGAATGAAAGTACTGATCAAAAGTATTGTGTTTTTTTTAATGAGTATCAGTTTTTGTGGCAAAACCCGATCCCAGTGTTGTAACTGGGATATGACTAGTCCACTGGAGTCCTTAAGTCTGGACTCCTTAAAACTGGATTTAGTTGTCAGGTTAGCAGGCCCTAAAACAGCATCTGGATGTTAAACAACGGGTGCAAACTACACACAAAAAAAACTGAGTTTGTTAAAACGGCTCTTTCTGTGCATACAGGACTGAAGTATGTCCAAGATGTTAGACTGGTAACCACCATTAGACATGTCTAATCTGAGTTCCCCTCATCATTTCTGATCATTCCCAGTAATCAGAAACAATAATCGATCCAACCATCTGAGAAAACTGGTTTCAGCTGCATTTGTTCTCATTATTTCTCAGGGTTGATAACCACAGATAAAGAATCAGACAGGAAGCAGAACAGTTCACCACTAAAATACAGGACATAATATAATATAATTATCAGCTGATGATTTGGACCAAAACTAGACAATGTCCATTTCGTAAATAAATGCACCAGGTGCAAATCATTGAACAGTCTGAAAACAACAATCCTCAAAGAAAGAATAAAAACAGAAACTTTTTAGTCTCAGCATCAACAAAGACGTCCCTTCTTCTGCAGAACAGAAAAGCAACGGTTCAGATTCTCATCCTGGAGACATCTGGGACGAATCATCACTGAGTGGAAACGTGGACCGGGGTCAGACGAACCAGTAAAATAAGGAAGCATCCAGATTACTGTTATCCACAAGTCCTAAAGCCCAGTTCTGTCATGGTACGCCTTGGATCACTTCCATTTATCTGATGGCAGCATTAATGGAGGAAAAGTCCAGAATGTTTGGAGGACGGGCGGGATGAAAAAAACAAAACAAAACATAAAACTCTTCAGTTTGTGTTGCTACTCAGAAAGGCATCAGTTAATGTATTTAAATAATGGAAGTGAGAAAAACACAAAGAAGCTGCAGTGGTGTAATTTGATATATTTCCATATTTAATGCATCCTCCTTATTGTGGATTATTCAGATTGTATAAGAAAGAATCTACAAACATGAATCCTTCAGTTTGGTGACATCTATTAAAGACAATCATGAGAGGAATCAAAGCTGTGGATGTTTCTTGATTCCTGGAGGCATCCTGATGCATACATCAATGATTTAGACCTGGTGCAGTAACCGGAGATAATGGAAAGCTTTCAGACAACACAAATTATAGGAAACTATCCTTTAMTTAAGGCTTTCCTGACCACAGTCTTTATATACTTGCACAGTTAAAACAGAAAGCTAGATCTGGTTGCCGAAAAAATAAAAAGTCTGTTAAGTTGATGAAAAAACATGAAAGAAATAGTACAACATTATAGCTTTCATAATCTGCTTACAGCTCAGGAGTGATGCGAAACACATCTGATGTTTTATAATAAAAAATATGAATTGAATAAAACCCATAGAGCTGGTAAAACACACCTCTGAAAGTACAGATAATAACAGGATGCAGGCCAGCAGTTTTCAACCTGGACTCATTTAACAGCAGTGAGATAAGAATTAATGAGATGCTGTAAACTGGGACCCAGTTCACCTAGACCAGGTAGTAGGTGGACTGGTTTGAAAAAAAAAAAAAAAGAGCAGGTCAGACAGAATATGATGTATATCAGAATGTACTTTTACAAATATTTATACTAGTGTCTGACAGACTGCATGTACTGTGTACCAGATATATTCTATCCTGAATCACTATTAGTGTTCCACAGATACTGACAGTGAAAGTAAAGATATTAATAAAGCACTAAATAGTACATTTTATTTGAATTATGTATTTATGACTGAAACAGATTATTATGTGTGATAAATGAGGAATTCACACATTGAGAAGCACGTATGTGACTAGGGATGCACGATATATCAGCATTAACATCGATATCAGCCAATGTTGGTCATTTTTTACCAAATAGGTATTAGTACGATAAGTAAAACTGGGCCTAATTATATATATATAAAATTAGGCCCAGTTTTACTTAACATGTCACCATTTTTCTCAATAAATATATTACTAGAGGGGCTAATGACATGAAATTTTCACCAGATGTCGGTAACAACCCAAGTGATCCATRCATACAAAGAAATCAAACCATGAATGTCCAGAAATGAAGTTATTTGTAATAATGTGGAATGGCACAGGGAAAAAGTRTTGAACACACTTACTGAAATTTATCTAATACTTTGTACAAAAGCCTTTGTTGTCAATGACAGCTTCAAGAYGCCTCCTGTATGGAGAAACTAGTGGCATGCATTGCTCAGGTGTGATTTTGGCCCATTCTTCCACACARWC